GGAAAACTCTAACTTTCAATGCCTATATTATGTATATATTTGCTAAAAAGTGGGCTAATTGAAAGTGGGGGGAGGGGGCTAATTGAAAGTTGAGGGGGGGGGGGGAAACCAACAAAAAAGGAAAACTCTAATTTTCAATGCCTATATTATGCATATATTTGCAAAAAGTGGGCTTAGCCCCCTTAGCCCACCCGGTTTCGACGCCTATGCTGAGTTAAATACCCGGGTATTACATACAAGTATTCTGAAGTTGACTTCAAACCGATGCTTGAGTTTCTGATTGACACTATCTGTATGGATTTTAGAGACCAGGTCTTCCAACATCACTTTAAAATTCCAATGGGTATCAATTTTCCCCCCTTATTAGTAAAACTATTTTTGTATCCATATGGAATTTGTTCAAAATCTTATATGTGAAAAGAAGAAAAAAAAACACTTGCTGTGGCCTTCAACTCGACATTAAGATATATCGACGACGTATTGTCAATTTACAATAGTAATTTATATTCCTTTGTCGATACGATATATCACAATGAGCTTGAGATAAATGATACCACAGAGTCTGACACATGTTTTATATTTGGATATTTTACTTGAAAAAGACGTTAATGGTAATCTAACAACCAAGCTCTATGATAAAGGTGATGACACAGACTTTTCAATAGTCAATTTCCCTTACTTATGCAGCAATATACATTAATCACTTGCATACGGAGTTGATGAGATTAGCAAGAGCATGCTCTAGTTCTATGGTCGATACAATGACATTGTCGACAAATGCAATTTGTCTTTCAGTCAAATGCTGAGTGATATTTTTTATTGTTAGACCATTATTTACAGACTGAATTGATGACGGATTTTCCGTTATTTCCTGATCATGACAAAGAGCACAAGGCGGATGTGACCGGTGGGCAGGTGCTGCTTACTCCTCCATGGCACCTGATCCCACCAGTAATGTTTTGGAAGTCCGTGTTTGCTCTGCTACTATTTTGAATAATTGAATTGACTTTTTAGCTCGAAAAATGTACGTTATCTTTGTATATTTCATTGCAACTAATGATGAATTTAACACAATTTAAAATTCTGTACAGAAAAGGAGTATCCTGCTACATTGTAAACAGGCAGCTTGTGTTTCTGTTAACAATTGCAACTCCTAGCTTAATTCCCATCGCCCGCGTGGCGCAGTGGTTAGTGCATCTGCTCTAGAGTTGCGAAGTAAGGAGTTGATCTTTACGTCGCGGGTTCGAATCCCACAGTGGGGCATGAAGACCGGTCCTTTGGATGAGACAGTATAAACCGAGGTCCTGTGTCGCAGTAGGAGCATGCTGGCACGAAAAAGATCCCTGATCAATGTCTCCGAGTGCCGAGTAAAGGATAAAATTTGTAGCTCTCCACCTGCAAGTGGTGGCGTCTCCATATGAGTGAAAAATTCTCTAGAGGGACAATAAACAATCAATAAATTCAGGCACGTAGCATCGTTTTTGAAAGTGGGGGGGCCAACCAGAGAAAAATTTTTTTTACTTATCTGAAAAAGTTGACAAGCAAAAAAAAAAAAAAAAAGCAAAAGTTAAATGTCGCCCGAAGTCGAAAATCCTATTTCGCAGGGGGGGGGGGGGGGGGGGGGGGGGGGGGGGGGGGGGGGGGGTAGTGGCCAACTTTTTCAAAGCCAAATTACTTTCACTTCCAATTTTTTTCCTACAATTCCTTGATAACACTATACTGTGGTAAAAAGTGGGGGGGGGGGCAAGCTTTCTTTCAGCGAACATTTCCAATAGGAAAGGTAATGTTGGCCAAAAAAGTGGGGGGGGGGGGCAGCCCCCCCCCCCGGATGCTACGTCCCTGAAATTAATCAATCAATCACTCCGTATAAAATATATTTTATGAATATAATGGAAAAGGTTATTTTAGTATTAATTTTTTATCATCAGGCCCCAGGATCATTAAACAAACTTAGACTAAAGTCAAATTTTCAATCGCTCATACAATATTAATAAATCATGAAATTTATTTTGAAATTTGCAGATAAAAACACTTCTGGAAATCAATGTTGAAAATATTTTAGTTTTGGTCTGCTTGACTTCTAAAACATTTTATAATCACATAGAAAATTTGACTTAAGCTTAAGATGTTTCATGATCCCTTGGCCAGGTGTGTTTCCAATCATTTTAAGGTGTAAAACGTACGTGCGATTTCAAATAAATTACAGTTCTATTTTTTTTTTTAAATAATTCAATTCAGATAGTAATTATAAAATAGAAAAAGTAAAAAATTAAGCTAAGATTATAAAATATAAATATCTGGGCGTACAGTTAAGTTATAACTATGTAAGCTATTATTTCTCCATATTTTATCTCACTTTGAGATTAAGTTTTTAAAAAAAGATTATTTCAAACAGAAACAACAAAAATGAAAATTATAATCAATGAGATACAAGTATTCCATTAAAAAAAACAACAATAGAAATATTTTAAAACAGGTTCAGATGTACCTGCATAAGTATTTTATTTCACACATGTCAAAACATTTATATGCATATTAGTTATTCTGTAACCAGCCAATATTATATATCAAATGTAATTGTACACGTGTAAAAACAGGCACCAAAGTTTCATAATTATCAAGCAACATATGTTTGCACACTGACCAGTCCTTTATGAATAGTATTGTCCCTGGTTATTCTGTTTTCCAGGCGATGTCTCCTTTTGTTGACGACAATGACTGACCGCACCTCTGTAAAAGTAAATTGTCTTCTTTGGGTTTTTTAATGATACTTTTTAACTTTATCGTATAATACCAATTATATAAAAAGCATAATATTTTCATGAAATTATTTTTTTCTCAGGGATGGGGAGAAAGGTGTTGTTTTCCTTGAATGTACTCATAAACTGCAAATATGGCTTTGGAGATATGACCTTGAGTTAATAGTTTGACGTATCATTTTTTAATGATAAACAAACACTGTAATACTAGTACTATTGACAACATGTATTTCTTATCTTAGAGCAAAGACTAGGAAAAATCGAAAAACTCCTCGAAAGAAAATGTACATATATTATTTATAAAAAATAAATGCGCGTAAATTAAAATAAAATGCAAATACAGATATGTGCCAAAATTTAAGATAATTTTATTTTTTCTCTATATATTTCATTGCAATCAATATTTTGTAAAATTACTAGCAAATGGTCAATTTTTATCCAATTTGATTAAATCTATTTCAGTACTTAAACCTGAGAATGTGAGGTTATCTTTCTTTAAAAGATCATTACGTACTTAGCTTTTAGTAAAAGATAGCTCATCACTTAACATCAGTTCAAAAATTCAAGATCAATGTTGACTACATAATTCATTTTGAATATTTGACTTAAAAATTCACGTCGCGCTTAAAAAAATTTAATATATCAACGTTGATCAGATAAAAACTATTGTTTTCATCAACTACAACAATTTCTTCGATTAGCAATAAATTTGTGATAAAATCTGTCAAGAAATGTTGTCATATCAGTGATTTTACAAAATGTTGTTTTCAATGAAATATATAGAGAAAAAATAAAATTATCTGAAATTTTGGCACACATCTGTATATTTTTAAAAATTGCGACTAAATGTCGCAGTTTTGTACAATATGTATGTACTAAGTATGTCTGTTTTTCTGGTTTGTTTATTCAATGCATAACATATAGGGAAAATTCTTTTAATTTATGATCTCTTATATTGAATGTTTATATGCGCAGTTTGCTGTAAATGCATAAAAGATACATACATTTTCTATGATAACAAATGATTCTGCACATTGATCTATCCTTCAGAAACGTTCCAGGCAGGTTAAGTTTCAGGTACACCAGTTACCATTGTTTCATTTCTATAACATCAACACATGCTTCTGAACATTGATCTTCTTTGTTAATTATTACAATATTTAGTCATATTTTAGTGTATAATTACATGTAAATTCGACACCTATATACCTGTATCATAATCACCAAAATAGCGCATGTTTGACACATTGGCAAGTCCTCAATAAATTCTTACTCCTTTCTGTACTAATAGTTACTAATAGTTTTCTTGCAGTTGAAATACTTTTCATTTTCTACTGGATCTGAAAAAAGGTGTTTTTCATGAAACAGTCCCTAATTCAAAATATTTACTTCCGTTGTTCACCAAATGTACTCATAATTCTTCACTCAAAGTTCTCTTCAGTTGACATGCTTTTCATTTCCTGATGAATCTGAAAAATTGCCTGAAAAGTGAGAAAGACGTTGAGTTTACAACACAGTAGTCCCATTTCCAAAGTTGTTTACCTTTTTATATTACGTTTTCAATTTAGTTGATATAGATTTACCCATACTCATATCTTTTAACAATTATTTTAATTTCGTATTCTGTGGTCAGTGTTGACACATGATCATACCTTCCATAAATCCCTGGCTCGATGGGATTTGATCGCGTGAGAGTGATGAAGTACTAAAACAAAGTGGATTTAAATATAAAACAGTGTAAAACATTGGTGATGTTACAAAAACATTGGATAAAAACAATCTTCGATGATTTAGGGTTGGATATAATTTTTATCCAACTCGTTATGTGTTTTTATCCCTACACCAAGCCTTGCGGATAAAAACACAATTCATTGGATAAAAATCATGCCCAACTTCAAATCTTGAGAAGCTATATTTAAGTGAACTTAAGTGGAACTCTCATATGCATTATTTCATATGCTTCTTGGAATTATTTTTCCGGTTCACAGTCTTCTAATGAGAGATTTTCTCTTATTTATAAACAAGCCTAAAGATATGAGCATTTTAAGGTGATATTTGGCAGAGCATCTTTTCAATATCGTCGTTCTACATGAAACCTAGCAGTATTCTTTCATTTAAAATAGCCATTAAATGAAAACAGATATGACTTTAGTAATATTGAAATTACTCTCCCTCATTTCATTGACATTGCTGTTGTGTAATTTGTATCATAAAGGAAGCATTTCTTCTTTGACCATATTAATGGTGATGGAATCTCTGAAGAAAGGTAGGTCCATCTATCTTATTTCGTTTAATCGTTAGAACATAATAAATCTGACCTCTTCAACATTTATCAGAGATTAAGTGTTGGGTTATATTGTATTCTCTGATGATTTTTTATGCTTTCAGTCATCAGAAAGCTAGCTCTCCTCGTGTACTTCAGAATTGTCATCACTGGCTCTGGTTGTCATGGTTACCAGGTGTTTGAATGTAATGTTCCCTTTGTTTTTTTCTCTACTTCTTGGACACGAAATTGAATCTTTTAAGAGACGCTATTCATGCAATCATTTATAATAGCAATTATGAAAAAAAAATATATCAATTTTTATCAAAAGTTGTTCTAAACATTAATATAGTCTAAGTAAAAAGGAAATTCGATACAAAATGAATTACCTGTCCACAAAAGAGGAAAATTCAGAAGTGTAATAGATTTAGATGATGTGCAAGAAAGTTATAATATGTGTACTTTAAGACGCTTTTTATAATGATAGGTTTTATAATGGAAATAAAAACCGATATTTAATACTGATAAATTAACAAGTAATTGACAAGACTAACCATTTGTGATATAATGAGTCTTTCAACATCTAGATGTGCATCTTGTAATTCAAATTGAGGAAAAAAATATCATAAAATTGAGAGTTTTTAATCTTTAACAGATTCATTCGAGACTCACACCTGTAAGGACACGCCACACGTCTTAAACCCTCTAAATGCAGAGGTCATTCTACTCTCCTATCATGGAGGAGACATAAGATGCCACCAGATTGCATTTTCTGCACTTTCTGACCCCGACCTTGTGACCTTTGAACTGATGATCAATTCCCTGTATCATGAGGATCCCGACTGTTCTACTTCCTTGATGTACAAGGCACTGAGAGATGCTGAACCATTGACGGTAAGACACGGGCTTATCAATGCTAAAATGATTCTGTGTAATATCAAAAGACAGTTCACCAGAAAACCAAGCAACGATGGTATATTTCATGTCATTTTTAACTGCTTTGAAAATGCTGATAATTATAGAAAATAAATTCTTTGCGTTTTCTACCAATACTATAAGGGTAATTTATTTTAAAAAGTTATTAGTAAACTATGGTCAGTCAGTCAAACCAAAAAGATTCATTATACGAATAGGCTGCAAATACCCATTGCTTGAATATTCTTGAAAATGATATTAATCATGTTTATATATTCCTCATGTAAACTACGATTTTTTTGAAAGATGACTAAGGAAGTGATATGATACACAATCTCTGGTATATTGATGATTGTTCAAAACAACAAACTTAAAAGCAGAAACTGTATTCCTTTAGTTTTCCCCTTTGAAATGTAACCTAGGGATTTCTTTCTTTCGTTCTTTCAGTCTTATAACTGTAGTAGACTTGCAGAAGAAAAATATTTCATTCAAATGAGGAGAAACTCAACCTTCTACGTTGAAGTACAAACTCATAAGCCTAACACAGAACGGTCCCGATTTAAACTTAAGCTGATACCACGGGATGCTGTTTTCAAATGTAAGCTTATAAAAACATACATTGATTACTTTGCAATATATCTAAAACACTGCATGGGATTCTTTTTCGAAATATAGAATGCATGACTGCTAATATATGTGCTATTTAAAAAAATCATGATTATATTTACAGCTGAGGACACGATCGGAATAATAGCAGGAGGAACAATAGGGAGCTTGCTACTCATAAGTCTGATCGGGTTCGGGGTTTGTATTTTTAGGAAAAGACAAAACCAGCATAAGACCACAAAGAATGAGAAAATATCTAGTAAGGAAAATGGATTTACATAGTGTGTGTCTAATTTGTTAGTGGATTTTTTTTTCATGTTAAATAATTTTCTTTATATAGTAACAAATACTTAATAAAAGATATTTTCTTCTCTTTATTTATGCAATAGGTAGTTTTCATTAGAAGAGTTATTAGCCCCTTCACGATAACTGCTGTACTACATTTTTGCAGGGCAAAATTATACCATTTTGGCGGTGTTTTTGTTGATAGATAATTAAATGACGTATTTAAACAATTACTTTTACATCATTTTTCACCAAACTATATCATTTTGCCCTGCAAAAGAGCAGTACCGCAGTTACCGTGAAACGGTCTATTTCCCGTTGGCCACCATCTTGGGGGTCAACCAGGTAATTTTCCCTCTTTGTCCTACCAAAAATAAGAGGGTGTAGCAGAAATATTTTGAGGAAAATCTTTATGGAATAAACATTATGAAATAAAGGAGGTTCTAACAAATGTATATTTTTCAGAAAACAATACTTCCCAGCCCACAATTGCCAGTATAAAAAGTTAAAGTTGGTTGAATTATGAAGGAATATGAGCATGTTGACCCCCAATATGGCGGCTAACGGGAAATAACTCTTGTTAATTTGGGTCTACTGAAAACTATCTATTAAAGCATTTGAAGCATGCATATTTATATTTCTTATTGTTTTCTCTCTGTTAATCTTTGAAAGTTTGGTGAATTGATTTTTGGATAATTTAACGGAAATGTAACTGTTGTCAAGCAAACGATCAGGAGCCATATATGCATATCAATCTCGTGCTGTGGCATTTGTGTCTGACGTTAGTGGGCGGGAACTACTGGAATTAACATTTATGTTTAATGCATTGTAAATCTATTAGAAAACCTGAAACATACTGAGATAACGAACAGTATTCAGGATTTCCTAAAATTTTATTTGCAATTCAAGCTTAAAAGTCCTTCAAAACAATTGAGAGTGGGAACAGAACAAAACTGGACATCTAAACATCAGAGGTGTGATCTCGTGCCATGAAGAAGTGAGCATCCCCAGTCTACAGGAAACATCCGACATATGCTTCCTCTCTTCATGGAAAAAAGTCAAGACCTTACTATAGGATTAAACGTTCTTTTTTCAGAATTTATCGATGTGTAAACTCTGCCTTTTTACTCACAAACTGAATAAAAGTGCGAAGCACTTTTATGTAAAGTTTGTGAGTAAAAAGGCAGAGTTTAAACATCGATAAATTCTGAAAAAAGAACGTTTAATTCTTATAATTCCAATTACGAATTTTTAAAATATTAAAATTATTTCTCCTAGAGGCCGCCATACAATCCGTTATTTTGTACGGCGTAGGAATACTTCATGCCGCAAGGAAACGAATACATTATGAATAGCGATAAAATCCAACTTAAATTGTCAAAACAATCAATAAATTAACTTATAAAAACTTATTGAATGTTGTTTAAGTCAACAAATATCGTAAATACGCGTATTCTCCAGAATAATTCGTACTTGACCATAGCATTGTTGACTAATGACTAACGACAACGCTCATCATGCTCATAGTGAAAGTAGCAGACCGACAACGTCCTCGATTTACTCTGGTTCGTTCAAAGATTTATGGAGAATATGAGATCTGTAGGATGTAAATATATGAATTTGATGCTGATAAGGCAAGAGTCTGAGGTACGTTTCTTTTCCCTATCACAAAGATACCAACTGAGCTGATATGGAACCTTGAGAAAATGACAACACTTGTGATCCGACAGTGACATAAACATAATATCCTGTTTGTCGCCAGTTTTATTTTATTTAATTAAATTTAATGATCGAAGTTTCTTGTATTCAATATTTAGCTAAAAAGACCAGAAATAACTGCTTTCATTTTTATACGATAGCCCAGAAGCTTCGTCAGGAAAGTAGTTCCGATTGAAAAATTCATCGATGTGTAAACTTTTTCTAAAACGTGTTCTCGTCCAATCAAAACACAGATAATAAATAAATAAAATGAAGATTGGAATTATAATAAAATAATACAAATTATTTTTGAATAATAAAATAAAGCAATCTTTCATTTTACTAATAATCAATCCATCTGAGACACAGATCTTCGCACACTGATTAAGTTTTCCGTCCACATTTTCCTTGATATGTGATCTCATTTTAAAATCAATATTGATCTTTCAATGACAAGATTTAACTTGAGAACGAATGACTGCTTGTCTAACATACTGCAGAGCTTAGTTTCCGAAAGTAAGTAATTTTGTAATTTTACCATTTCCTAATGGGTACATTTTCCCGGTAAGCTGATATCTAGGTTCATCAATGTAAAGAGCAGCTACTCATTAATTCGGAAATAATAATAACAATAAATAATTCCTGATTTCTATGGCATGCAATATAGAAATCGTATGACATAAGGCTTGACTTTCTATCATGAATGAATCTTTAATAAATTGATAACAGTTTATGAGACCATTTTTTATTACATATAGTAGTCTCATTGTGAGAAGCTTAAAAACAAGAACTATTCAAGACACTGCATGTAAAACGAGTATTAAAGAATCGGTAAACTAGAGTGAAATTAAACGCGTCATTAAAATTGCTGTAAAACTTGTTAAGAATCCCAATAAAATATTCACTGAAATAAATGAAATTTACCTCAAACAATGTCTGTTTTAGAAACACATGAGCAGGTGGTTTCAATGAACAAAAAATATATAATGTGCATCAAAAATGGGTACCGACCTTCGCGACAAGGACTTACGACAACTAATGAACAATTCGCTAAAATTCAACAAATTATAATGTTCGATTGACTTTAAGAGAAAAAGCAAATTTGATAGGCTTCATTTTGGGGGTAATTGAAACTGTTTTAAAGAAACATTTGACAGATAAAAAAGCGAAGTACTCAACGGTCATGAATTTCACAATTTTGGTAGAGGCCAGGCCCACTGCAGATTGCAATCACGTCAGCAGATAATCTGCTTGATGTTCAGGAGTTAATTAAAGAAGAAGATTTTTAAAGGTCCAAGGGAGACAGGGGGCATTAATTTTATAATGTATACTCCCCTTCACCCATAGATGTTATATGCAAAAATTTATTGAAATTGGTTCAATGGTTTCAGAGAATTAACTGAAAATGTTCAAATGTTAACACACGTCAGTCGATGGACGACTCACTACGACGGACGAAAACAGATAGCAATAGATCATCTGGTTTATTCAGGTCATATTATAAGCCCATAGCAAATTTTATAAAATGAAAAAGGAAAGGTACACTAAAATATTACAAAATTCTAGTGGGGAAGAAGTTTCCCATATTCTCCATGACTTTGATTCTGATTATTACGTTAATTTATTTTGACTTAGTGCTACCGTCTTAAATATCCCCAAAAATGACGCCAGAATAGAAAAAAAAACTAAGTAACACAATTCACGTTGAAGTTTAGTAGCACTAGTATACATTTAATTTGCAGACAAGTTATCAATTTGAAACAAAATAAAATTAACATTTTCATATTACATACAAAACGTACGATCAACATTTAATACAATTAGCGAATTGACAGTTTTCTTTGGGTAACTGGAAAATCAGTTTTTCATCAATTACAAATCCAATTTTTTAAGAAGGCAAAAGTAGCCAAAGAAGGTAAACAAAAACTCAATCTGAAACATTCAGTTACTATGAAATATATGGAGATAACGAACAGTATACATGTATATTGAGTAAATATGTTTATAAAACCATTTTTTAGTTTTAAAAAGTGTACCTGTTATGTGCAATTCAGGTACAAACGCACTGTTCAGAATAAATGTCGGCATTTTATCTTCTTGCGTGATATCGTTGATTTATTTTCTCAGTATGAGCTCCGATAACATCTGCAGATTAGGATGACTATAGAAGAAAATTAAAATAAGTTTCCAAATAAATTGAGATATTATTATAGGATAATATAGGATATAGGTTATCATAGATTACCTGGAAAAGTGTTATCTAATATTTTAAAAACACTTACATATCATTTTATACCAACAAACAAACTGAACCATAAACATGAGAAAGCTCAAAAGTCCATTCAAACAATACTAAATGAAGAGCAGGGCAAACAAAGACCTTTAAAAATCAGACGTGGGATCTTGTGCCATAAATGATTGCCGACTTGGTACACATATTGTGTGTGTCATAATCGGGAAAGAACAGAAATATACGATTATATATCATAATTCAGTGTGTAAATGATGGCCTGAAAATTAGTATGAAAACTCACTGTATCGACCATAAAACGTTCGAAATAACGAATTTAAAATCAGATGATACAAACAAAAAAGGAAATGCCTGGATTGATATATGTTTTGGGCCTAATTTCATTGAAAATGATGCAAATAATTAATTCCTAGAACATAAAGAAATTGTAAACCGTCTATAATGTTAAAAAGTGCCTCTCTGAAACCATCCTTATTAATATATATATACAAATATTTTTCACTTCAAATCCCATTTTAGTAAAAATAAGTGAATGAAAAATTCAAAACTACTCGGTGAAACCTATTTATTTTACTCATTAAAACATAATCAATTTTTTATTTTCATTTTTTGGAGCAAAAGATTGTTTGTATAATCTGTCCTTAAGGATGAATTCTTCTGATCAATTTACCCCAAGTGGGTCTTCGTACTTAGACATGTCGTAAAATTCAAACTGATTACAATTTACAAAGAAGTTTTTAAAGTTTTTATGATTTATATGTTTAACTATATTTATTTTTAAATAAAAAATCTTTCTATGTTGTATAAATGACCAACACGTGTGCAAAATTACGATATTTACGACATAGGCCTAAGAAAGTCGACAAGTGAAATCGACATCGAGAGGGGAAGACTCAAGAAGACGGGATCGCCCGTTTCAAAGCGACCGGAATGCCGAATGGCACTCCATTAAAAGAGCCAACCGACAGAAATTTTAAAACATTTAAAAAATTGTCGAGATCACAATTAAGCCTACAGGAACATTCTCGAAAGCGGTACCCAAACATGCCAGTCATGAGCGCCGAAGTGTGTTGACGCAGTGGAAAAGCGAAAATGTAGGTTTACAATGCTTTCAAACTTATTGAAAATAGCAATGTTTGTGCGTTATAGATACAAAGGTTTTAAAATACATAGTATAGTGTCACATCGCAAAGTCAAACATAGCATATTACATGTTACATGTACGTAACGTTAGGCCTAAGGTCTCCAGAGGCGTGCAGACGACAACATTCGTATTATCTTTTTTATTACAACTTTAGCTTTTAGTATATGATAAATTACCTTTGATATTGTAAATGCAGAATCTCTATCTTAAATTTATAGACATACCGTAAGAAAATAATAAGATAACTTCTATAATTATTAGCTGTTTACATTCGGTAAGAAACTAGGTCGCTTCATTCTATGGCGGCCTATGCGGGTTAAAAACATGGAATATTTCTGAAACATCATGGAACATGTAGAAATTATTTTAGTCTAAACTACAGGCCTGGGTTCATAGAAACAAAGGCAGATAGACAAAATTATGATTTTACATTTTTGAACAATGATATTACCAGTAAATTATAATCTAATTTTTCTCTAAAATAATTTTTTACAGGTAAGTCTTGTTTTCACAAGAATCACTAATGAAGGCTTTTAGAAGAGAGCAGGGTCTAAGAACCACTAAAATCAGATGGAGAAAACCATAAAAATCAGATTGAGAAAGTGGGACTGGATTTGACTAATCCCTGTGAAGCCATCATCCAACACCACAAACCAGGACCCAATCTGTAACCCCCAGGCCAAGAGAAAGAGAGGACATCCAACAGACTATTGTGAAGTTTTATGTGTTAATTGATTACTTTTTGTTCTTAAAAATCTTTTCTTAACAAAATTGTAAATATTACCTGAAAGTATCACACTAATTTTGAATATTTGGTGAATAAAACACATACTTTGATGCCTAAATGCTTGATTTATTTTCATTAAATGCTGAAAAAGAAACATGGGGTGGGGATATAAAAAATATCAAAACTTTCTTATATGTGCACTAACCCCTACTTTTCATGCTATGAAAAGAAGCCATAATACCTAAAGAAATTGTACAACAATTTTCTTAAAAAGTTTAATTGTAGAAATATGTTTTTCTTTGGTTTTTCCAGCAATTTTATAGGAAAAAATGTGCCTAATTTTGACATGGGTGAACAACATTTTTGGGTACAAGTTATCTAACTGGTATTTATTTGCTCATATTTTGTTTAAAAAATCAACTTTGCAATACTTTCAAGTAAATTTAAGCCAAATTAAGTTTTAATTCACTATATTTATAAGTTTTATGAGGTATTTTATTGTCTAGTAGCATTTTAAAGAAAATTTCCCATGCTCTATTTTGGCCTATCTTCAAAGGGTTGAACCTCTCTTAGATGAACACTAACATACACTTTTCTTGTCTTTAAATTATTCCTTGGATATTACACTTTCAGAAAAATATAAGCATTTGAAAAGTTTAATGCACGTTTTTTTCCTCGTATCATAAGAATACATCCTTAAACGAGAGTGCCGATATTTATATTTTATCAACATGTTTGCGTTGCTCGCGAGGAGCAGTTGTTAGATCACCTGCTCTATAGCTAGAGTCTCGAAGAAAAGAGTTGATCCTTACGTTCGAATCCCACTGTGGGACGTGGAGGTCCTGTGTTGCAGAAGGTACTGGCACAAAAATCCCTCTTTACTTACTCAATGATTCTAAGTGCGGAATTCAGGGAAAAAATTAAGCTCTATACTGGCAAGTGTAGGGGTCTCCATATGAGTAAAAAATTATCGAGAGGGACGTTAAACAACCATCAATCATCAACTTGTTTGTCAATTTTTTTTACATAGTTTTAGATTATTGTTCATTACATTGATAATGCTCTTGTATATCGAATAAAATTCTGCTGCATACCTGATAATATATTTTTATAGATTATAAAATTAGTATGTACTGGTCCCTGTTGACAAAGCAGGTTACAGCAGTGTCTTTGTTTGTAAGGCTCATCATTTAAACGTATTTGAGAAGAATTAGAATTTAATTTACCAGCAAAAAATGAAATTATACCATAGCTCTCTTTCTAAGTATATTCAGGGTTACTTTTACACAGGTGTAGAATATAAGTTACCTTGAACCCCCCCCCCCCCCCCCCCCCCCCAGACAGTTAACAAATAATCTAATAACTATGTACAATGTACTAATATTGTTACGTTTAAAACTAATATATCAATTGTTGAAATGATGCCTATTTTTTTATCTTGCGACATAGTATAATACTATCCTAGAGATAACCTTTGTAAGTATGTACGGAAGGTACATCTATATCAAATATAAAATGTATACATCTTTAGCAATATCATTGACTTCAGAATATAGATACCATTGACATTGTTTGTGAGCAAATTTTTGGAAGAGACATCTGAAAACTGATAATGGAGGTTAATACGAATACAAATGATCTTGAAGATTCAACAAAGTATTCAATGTATGGAGCTACAGGCGCTCGTCAGTCAAGCGTTGTTACTTCCATAGGACACGTAAGTAAACTTTATCCACGCAGAAATCATAGCACACGATGTCAATCACTACCTCACAGTTTTAATGAAAGTTTTAGAGGTCAGGGGCCCAATTTACAAAGGAATTTGCAACTAAGATCAACAATTAATTTTGGTTTAATCTTTTTAAAAAGAATTTAACAAGATATTTCTAAACTAGCAATTTCGAACAACATAATTTATTTTACGAAGTGCTTAAGTAAAACGGGATCCATCAAAACAATAACTTTTCTATTGTCAACTTCCCTTACTTATGCAGCAATATACCTTTATAACCCACATACGGTGTTTATATATCTCAGTTGATTCGATACACAAGAGCATGCTCTACGTATGAAAAATTTCTAAAACAAAGTTAATTATTGACAAACAATTTGATGAATCAAGAATTTCAGCTGTCTCGTTTAAAGTCATCATTTCATAAGTTCTGTGGTCAATACAATGACCTTGTCAGCAAATACAATTTATCATTGAGTCAAATGCTGAGTGATTATTTTCATACCAATTGTTAGTCCATTATTTATACACTGAATTGAGAACGAATTTTTCCGTTATTTCCCGATCATGACAAGGAGCACACGGCGGGTGTGACCGGTCGGCACGGGATGTTTACTCCTCTATGGCACACGACTCCTTATCTGATGTTTTGGAGGTCTGTGTTTGCTCTGCTGGTATTTTCGATTTTTTAATGGACTTTTGATCTTGAGTACTGTTCTTTATCTCCATACGTATTATGTTTGAATGGTTGCAACACGAGCAATAACAAATTCATACACTGAAAATTTGCTGCTTTGTTTTTTCGGTAAACCCAGCGTAATATGAGAATTGAATTGATTATTTTTTTGAAGAAAGTTTCTAGCTTTTGTCCCTAATTCAATAGTTAGATATATAATAGGGGCTTCCTGAAATAACAATATTTATTTTTAGTCCCACGTTTTTTTTAAAATTATCCCTTTTATATGTGAGAAAAAGACACAAATGCAACAGTTCATACTTTAATATTTATTTATCAAGACTATTAATTCCAAATTACCAGCAAAACGTAATAAAGAACGTGAAGGCTTCATCTTCATTTAAATGTTTAGCAACATACGTTGATCACCTGAATATTAAGTTTATGTTTCCTAGTTTACTTGATAGACAAGAGTGATTGGCAAGAGCAAGTTCCACGTGGAAAAATTCTGAAACGAGCAATTAATAAATGATATCGCATACACGAGCCTGGTCTCAAATAGATAAGATTTATCTTAGTAGTAATAGTAATGATAATTAGAAGTCCATTGAAATGTAAAACTTAACCAGTAGTCAAAAGCTATCATTTTTGAGTATGTAGACCCATCCTTCTACTGTCTACGGGAAGTTATTCACAGCCTTTTTTTTTTTTTTTATCTTTTTTATCTTATCCGAAGAATCGATAAATCTAAGAAAAGGTCTTTTAGTATTAAAAAAAATATCATTCAATACTAGGTTGTATTCACTAAAAAGGTCATCATGGCAAGTATATTTACGAAATATTGCCTTAAAACGGTTAATGAAGTCACTTTACCATCAAATTTATATTGAGTAGAATGTGAGAGATCTTCATTCTGCAAACTCCTGTCGTGACAGAGACCTCGATTTTAAGATTTCATCTGAAGGACCCTCATTATTCACTTTAAAGTGCTGAGCGCCTGGCAAAGGAACAGTTTCTACCTTTTTTCTCCACTTTAGTCATTCACGGCCGAGGTTCAACTCACAACCTTCCAATAATGGCACGGGCGCTGTTGACGAATGGAGTAGCTGAAGTTATCTCGTTTATCATACAGTTTAGTAGTTACTTGGTCTTTGTCCTTGATAGGCTGTAATACATCCAATTTTTAAACAGATGCAACAAACAATGGTGTTTTTTTTAGATTCGGAAACATATGATACAATTTATGTTTTTTTTTTGTTTTCAGATTAGAACACTACCAGACGTTTTTAAAAAAAGAGTTGATTTAATCTTCCTGGTCCTAAGTTTCATAAATTTGGCAACTGCATTTGCATTGTCCCTTTATGAATTGCTCAACTTCGTCAAAAATGGCCAAACTGACACTCCAGATTTCACTCTTGCAATTATTCTCATCATCAATATAGGTACATGTAAAATAATTTGATTTAATTATTTTATTACATGACATTTAATAATTTATTTAATATGTGCCACTTCAAAAATGATTTGGGGATATTTTTTAACAAGATAAGAATTATACTGAAATATTTCTGGATTCTCTACTAAATGGTTTAGGGCGGGTATGGGAATGGATTAATTGGAAAATGTGCACAATTTGCATTCTTAACAAAGACTTAGATATAATAAAAAACATTAAGTATTTCAATATTGTCCATTTTACGTTTTAATTTATTTCAAATAAGATTACAGAGAAGCTTTTATAATGTTCTTTTATAGTATTCTGTGTACTCTACGTGTGCTACGGTCTGCTGAGAGAGAAAAAGTGGGAATTGTATGTTCTCATTCTAGCTATCGTTGTGGTTCTGCTTTATTGCAATGTGGAGTACTTTATTAACATAACCGGACGGTCAAACCTTAAACTGGTAAAATGATTTTAAAATTCGATTTCAATTTAAATTAGTATTTTGAGAAAATTCTTTTCAATATATAAGGTGAAGAATACACTGTATATTTCATAAATGCATACACAATGATTTTTGGAGTACAAGACAAGATTTCCCCCCTATACCAACAGGTAGGTACCGGTATATTACGTTAGTTGGAGAAGTATTCTTTGTTAATTAATTTCATCACCATTAAACTTTTATAATCAAATAAAACTCAAAAAAGAAATTTATTCGAAAATATCCCAATCGCTATAAAACTTTCGTATCTAAATTCGATCCCCCAAAATGAGATTTAGAAATTACTTATTATCATATTCAGTTAAATGCTTATACAATACCGGTATTTGGAATGCTAAAAATAAGGGACCCTTGTTCTGCATCAAATCCCAACAAATACGTACTTTTCTGCATTTATATAACTTTTTATGACCCTGCCCAATTCACAGGGTTCAAAAATAAAAAGAAGAAGACTTAAACTACCAGAGGATGCTTCCACAAGTATTGTTCTATACATTTGAAATGTAAAACGTCTTTTCCCTAAACTGGTCATTCTTTATCTTCACTATCCATGGGAACCATGAATTAGGGATATCCGATCCTCAGCCAGGACGTATAACTCCAAAACATAATATTTAATTTAAAAAGCATCAATATGAGACTTGAAAATAAAATCTTTCATGCAACAATTATTACTTCATTCATCTTAATATGATTCAAGGTCTATGAAATTCTTAGAAAAGGTTTTTTAAAAACTTGACATTTGTACCCCTTAAAAGGGAAAAAAGATAAATACCGTTCTACAGAAGCAAGATATTCTTGAATCGAGCGTTAGATACTAATCAGCATGATATGAAATTAGAAGTGATTTGTGATGTCTTCAAAGATAGTAGAAAACCTTTTACAATATGTATTATATACAAATTATACACGATGGAAAAAGAAAACATATAGAATACCAAATAAGTATAAAATTACGACAATTTCTTTGAATGCCTGGATACCTATTGTTTTTAACCTGAAATATTTTTGTTCATCAATTTGCAAGTAGAAAATGCATAGCTGATATTTCTATTCGCTTTTCCTGAATATATATTAAAGATTTGAAAATTTTCCCTATGTAATATGATTAACTTTAATGTTGAAATTGAAAGAAATACTGTGGGAAAATTTACGTTACTTTGTGTATTCAGAGATATTTTAATGAGTATTCTTGATTACTTAACTGCTATTTTTATGAACCTGAGGATCGGACTACATTAAATAATTTAAATCTATACTACCCTAAGGAAGCTGTTTAATTTGCTCAGCTTTTCTCGTCCATAATTTTTTCGGAAGTTTTTCAAGATTTTCCCCATACATTGTATATTATAATGTGAAACTTGAATTCCCAATATGACCAGCCCTACCCCCTAGGACCACGATTTGAGCACTTTAGAATCTTCACTAAGTCTGGACGCTTCCCCATTTGTTCTGGTCCAGTGGATTTTGCGTAGAGGGTTTTAAAAATCTGTCCTTATTTCATTGTGAAATTTTGATATCCTATAATTTATACTTCTTCAGAAATCTTCCACTTTTGTTCCAGCTTTTCTCGTCTTGCAGTTCTTGGAAACAAGATGATAAGTTCATCTGGATTTTAATCGTAAACATTGTTTCCCAGTTTTGACCATATCTAATCTCCAGGTTCGATGAATTGCACAATTTGCAATCTACAGAACATCAGAACATCAGAAAGCTACCACATAACTTCAGATTTTGTGATAAAGTAAATCATGAAAAAAAAGAAAAACGTTGTTCGTTACATTTCAATGTAAAATGTAAAACTTTTATCCTACACTACCTAAGGAAGCTTCCTATGAGTTAAAATGCTTGTTGGTCCAGTTTTCTTCACACTGTGTAATAGGAGTTTTATGGTTCCACCATTTTTAGACTTTTTTGTTTATCTCCCCCTAGAAATGAATTTTGTGTCTCATTTTAATAAATACCTTCAGTTACTTTCAGTGTTTCTCAACATGAGATGGAAAGTAACAAAAATGTGTTGAAACACTTTTTGTCAAACAAACTGATTTTTCAGTGAATACCACAGGATACATTGTAATTTAATCGGTCAAAGAAAACATTCCTACGTACCAAATGAGTTAAAGAACCATTCACCATTTTTTTTTTATTTTAGGCAAGACTAATTCTTGTTTGGCTGCTTGGAGTTCCTCACATTATCTTTGCTGCGATAGTAACTCGTCACTTTCGTTATTTAGTTTTCCAAAGTGTAGGAGCTATTGCTGATTTACAAGGTTTGTGAAGGCAATATCTATTATGATATCTCTTTTCTTTTCATTATTTTTTCCCTTCTCTTTTCGGAAAGATTTCTCAGAGATGGCTGGACGGATTTTCTTGAAATTTTCAGTGATGATAGAGAACCAAACTACCCATAGGCGTTTTTTCCTTTAAATTTTGCAAATTTCTTCTCCGGATATGTCAGGAATCTTATGAAAAGATAAGTATAGTAGAAATACTTGGCTAGCGAAGATGACATATTGCCGTTTTGTACATAATATTGTCGGCAATAATATGTACATGTACCTATCATCGCATTTTGACCAAAATGGTACATAATATCGCCGACTGAAAAGTTACAAATGTACATGTTGTCGCTGGTGTCATTATGTGCCTTATATGCAGTGTTTGCGCCTGCTTGCTCTTACAAAAAATATATAAAGTTGATCGTTAATTTAAACTTTACTTTCAGATGTGTATGAAGACGCATCCATTTTCTCCTCTTTCTTGAGGTTTGATATTCAGGTGACAGTAAGTACAAGATCAGTTTTGAAATTCATGATATTTAAAAGAATAATTATAAATCTGTGAGGAGATTCTATCATCTTCCAAAAATATGTTGGGATTTCCCATGAGTACCATTTCCAACGGTTTATTAGCAGACCTTTTTTTGTATTCATATACACGCATTTGCATACTGTAGATCACTAAATTTTCGCGACACCTTATTTTCGCGAGATAGTCATTGACTCTTGATTAGCGAGACAAAATTTTCACGAATTGTATTTATTGCTCTATATAATCTTTAGGAATGCAATTATACGCGAACACACTGTCTTGCGTAATTACGCGAAAAAATTGTTCTCGCGAATAAAAAGTGATTTACAGTACTCTCTGTTTTGTTCTACTGTGAACCTGTATTTGTACAAGTTGCTTTCTTCAATATGAACGTAATGTCTTCTGCTTTGAGTGCACATTATTTCTCACATTCACAGTTTCATGTACTCCACGTTTTTATGGCGTTCAGAAGTATATATCAAAAAGTATCGTGAAACAGGACTAGATATTAGTTTTAAATGAAGTCCACCGGAGTGTATCTAATATCTTTTTTTTTAAAATAAATGTTGTCAAATATTTAATTGCATTTAACAACGTTCTACAAATTTTAAAGAGCTGCTTTATCTTTTATTTATATTTTCATTTTAGCATATAGTTCCAAAGAACAACTTTTCAGGCTAAGATGTTTTACGTTTTAAACACAAAACGACACATTGTTCAGTAAACGCTTTTAATTTGCGAAGTGTTTTATAAAAACAGCGTAAACTGACGCAAACCAGCTTACATGTATACTCGAAAAATTCGAAAGAACTAAGAATAATTCATCATAATTTCAAAATTATGAAACAACTGTGTATGTAAAAGAGCTAGGTTCACTTTACGCATAAAATGGCCCTGTCCTTATATCAATTCATTGACTATCACACTCTGTCCCATTTCATACACTATTAATAGTGTACATCAAAATAAAGTGAAGACTTGGTGCTTTTATTTACTATATAATAAAACTCCTTTTTGTGACTCCAGATACACTGTATTGGAAAACAGGCTTTGATAAATTGCAATGTTCTTGAAATTTGCAGAAAATATGCGTATTTGACTTCCATCAGCAAAAAAATAAAATACAGGCACAGCCCACAATCCAAAAAATAAAACGTGTTTTTTGATGTTCAGAAACAGTTCTTTCATTATATAATTGCATATTTTAGATCAGAGGTTTTTCGGTATACTGTAGATCCCTTATTTTTCGCGAGTACTTATAATCGCTAATGGGCTCTTCATCGTCAATTGCGAGAATAAGAATTCGCAAATGGACGGTTGGTCAAGATTTCAGCACCATAAAAATAAAAGCGAGTAATTTGTATTTTGCGTGTGATGCTTCTCGCGAAATTACGGGATAATTAATTCCACTTGTTTATTTAGGAATCTACAGTATTAAATGTTAAAAAAAATATGCTTCTATTTTAGGCAATTTTCAAGCGAATGTACAGGACATTGGGAAAATGACGCTTTTCATGACGTCATTCATATAATGCATCGAATAGATGGAAAATTACGTCATGTTCAATAAAAACATGATCAAAAATAGTCCAAGTGATAAATAATGCATTTTCAACCTGAACAGGACAGTTTTGATTTTTCAAAAATTCTCAAGACCAAAGTGGCTCATGGTTTTTATAAAGTTTATTTTTTACCACACAATTGTGATTGAAAGCGAGGGTAGGTCAAACTGATACAAAGGCCTACATATGTAGCAATTATGATGTTTTTTAAAAATATGTGGTAGGATCGAGTCACTGCTTGAAGTTCAGGTATATTTATTAAATCTGGAATGTTCCATTTACCCCGAGGACTGGAATGACATGATTGCATGAATACCGATGATTTAGCTGGTTGTCAGAGGGAGGGGATGTCCCAATACCAAACCAGTTTATATAGAAATAATTTGGTTTCCTTATTTGATATTACATGTAACCAATTAAAGGCTAGAATACAAATAAAATAAAATTATATAATTATAACTCTATTTTATATACTCTACATGAAACTTATGTACATAACGAAAATTATTGAAGATCAAAAGTCCATAACAAAATGCAAAGTAGGGGCAGAGCAAACAGGAACTTCCAAAACATGAGAGAAGGGAGCAAGTGCCACGGAAGAGTAAGCATCCCCTGCCGACCGGTCACAGCCGCCATGTACTCCTTGTCATGATCGGAAATAACGGGAAAATACATAATCAATTCAGTGTATAAATAATTTACTAACAATTAGTGTGAAAAACGTCATTCAGCATTTGACTCAGAGATAAATTTCATTTTCTGACAAGATAATTGTAGCGACCATAAATCTTACGGAATAATAACTTTAAACGAGACTTTTGATATTCTTGTTCGATCAACTTGTCAATAATTTATCTCGTTTTAGAATTTTTATACGTAGAACATGCTCTTCGAAACAAATCAACTTAGAAATGTAAACTGCTTATATAGTGAATAATGTAGACGTACTTATTTCCACGGGGTCATAATTCCGCGGAATCTCAATTTCTGTTTAATCCGCGGGTAAAAAATTACGCGGATTTTCTAGATTGGCACTATATGCCTTACATTTATATAAAGTACGCTTGGACAAATTTCCGCGAAAAATTTGTGACCGCGTACATAGCGTAAATTAATACCACGCGGGAAAAAAGTACTTCTATAGTATTTCAAAAAGTACTGGGGGCTGATCCTGGTCTAAATAACATTTTTAAAAATTCATAACAGAATTCAAGCGAAGTAGAAAATTTTTTCTATTAATTGTACGCTTTTTTGGGGTAACATTTTCAGTACTTCTGAAGTGTATGCTTTTGTTCTATCCTCATTTCCTACATTCAGCTTAATGATCTTACTGGGAGTTGAACTATGTTCAATCTCCCATGGTCATCACGTATTTAACATGCGCAGTAATTTGTGTTGATTATATAGAGCCGAAAGCGAGGCTACTGTGTTGGCTGATTTACTCCGATGATATCCAACAGAAAACATGCATAAACATCCGCCACAAATAGTCCATGTCATTTTCTCCTGAATTGATCTAATTTTCATAATTTGACATGTAAGTAAATGTAATAATAATAAAGTAATCTTATTTTGAATATTAGATTTCGTTCAAAGTAAAACTAAATTATAAAGAACCTCAAAAGTTTTTCGTAATGGAACTCATTTGTGTGTGGCGTCATACACTGAAAAAGATACGATCGACAACTCTACATACTAACGGCAAGCGGTAAATCTAGTCGTCCCGACGCCCGACGGTCCCGGATTTTTAGCAATTTCTTTTTTTACCGGTGCACAGAATTTATTCAAACTTTTCATGAACATTTTCTTGGTTCAATGAATTCATTAATGCATAAAAACTTTAGGAAACATGCGTATTTATTACTAAATCAGCAGTATCACCTCCCAAAAGCGGTAAATCTAGTACTCTGTTATAAATGTTAAAACCAAAAAACGGACACTGATGTTTTCGTAAAATCATTTCGTAAAATCAACAAAATGAAGTTTTTTTTTAATAAAAGGAAAACCTCATTTACATACCAGATAACTCGTAGGCACACAAACTCTCACATATACCACTGTTTTTATGTTTGGTCTTTAAATATTTGTTTTAAATTTGGTATTGCTTTTTTCTTCACAATATTAAAAAAGATTAAGTTCTGACGTACTCAATGTATAATGTTCGTGTAATTGAAATACATTTATATTCACAGAGAAGTTTTATATAACAAACCTGTTAGCTCTTAAAAGGATGCTGTGTTAAAATTCACATTTTATAAACATTGATATTATTCCTGCGAAACTGAAATTTTCTTAAACACATGGGTAATGGTGCCAAGGAAAAATATCTTACAAATTTGAAGACTGTGAGCAGTAAATTATATAAATGATCAACCGCCTCTAATATGAATATAATGCCAGTGTCCATGTTTTGCAATGGGAAACCCAAAATATGTGTAGGATGGAAAAGTAATAGCAGGTGCACAACGGCATTATGTAATAAAGATTCTATGAAAATTTCGTTCAGTGGTGTAAGAGGAGTTGCGGATAAGAGATGGGTATACCTAAAGCGTAACAAACAGATAGACGGAAATCCAGATTAATACCCTCCCGCTTTTCAAGCAGGGGGTATAAAAAAGGACTAATGTAAGCAGGCAACAATATGGCCCCTGCATTTTTTTGCTATTCAATGTCTCTGAATGTCTTTCTCAAGATTTTTGCAACTCAAAAAATCTGAAACAGTTGTCTGTATTTGAAATAATAATATTGTTCACTCACTTAACCCCCCGATCAAAGATTTTATTTAACACCACGTTCAACTCCCATGAGTGCTTTCAGTACTTTGATTTTTACAATAGTCACGCGACAAACAGCTGATACATACATTATAACTGGCACTGTGTACGGCCTAGCCTTATCCATTATGGATTCATGTAGCTATATTACATTTTATACAGATATTCAGTTACTTTGTTAGAATTTTATAAAAGAAGAAATGCATATTAAAAGAGTGCATATATAACATTTTCCATATCGGTTCTTAACATAGCTGAGTATGCAAGATGATAATTACATGTTGTCTAAACGATTAACATACATTCATATTTTGAAGAAATGTATCAACAAAATTCATAAAAATAAAAACGTTACCGCCATATCAAATATATAGAGGATATCTACTCAGTATATTGTGTGATTTGATATTGGCTATATCCAACGAGTTGTATGGTGTATATATATTCGCGAGACTTGACGAGCGAATATACACCATTTCACAGATTTGGATAAAGCCAATATCAAATCAAACAATTATATATGTTCTATTTATCTCACACGACTTTCCTTGTAACAAAACTTTCAGATTTTCCTTGCAAAACTAGGCCTACATGAATGATTGCAAATTCAGATGACGTATAACTTGATGACGTAGCACCGTT